CACACACACACACACACACCAAACGCCCCCCAGCCCCCCCCAACACACACACACACACACACACACACACATTGAGAGGTGGAAAAGAAACTTGCAAGTACAAATGAAAGCTTTCACGAAAAGCTACACTATGTAGCAACAACTTGCTTAGATGGAAGGTTGACAAGATCAGTTTTCCATCCACTTGTCACATAAATTCAGCCCAGACATACGTAGAAATGGCACACAGGCAGGCAATCATAAAAAGCACACAGACATGGAAAAGTGGGCAATAAGTAGGCAAGATAAGATACAACAATCAGCAAAGACCAGGAACGGGAGACTTGAAGCCACCGGCCAGGTCCCAACCCCTATTTGTACCAAAAAATGTACAGAAACTATGCAAGCCCAGAACTTGGAGGTCCCAACTCCAAAGTACTGTGAGGATTTCTCAGCGATCATTTTTCTGTGGCCTGGAGCAGACATGGGTATCAATGGTGCGCGTATGACAGCTTTTAGGGGTCAGAAGAGTCACAGAGGAGAAACTTAAGGGAAGTGACACAGGAAAGCGGATGTCCTTACCTTCATGCCCTTCCATTGCTCCGCAAGACCAATCTGTGCATCATCAATGACTAGCTGCACAGCATATACTGTTGTCGCCACATCTTGCTGTTCCACCTGCGGGCTGATATTCCTCTCATCGCCCTTTTCATCAACAAGCCAATACTTGATGAAGCCAGTTCTTGCCACTATAGCCGCACCAGTTGTCTCCATCATGGGGTCAAGTGTCTGAACCCCCCCGTAACCTTCCCCCACTGGCCGTGAAGCACTATGCCCCACACCAGAGCTGTGGACTATCAGCTGGACACTTTCAGTCCACAATCTAAAACTAGACAGTTTAAACACCGCCGGTGCCTTGAGAACGCCCCCCTTTTTGAAACGCTTACCCCCACCCTTCCCTCCCAGTCTACGCATTAATGACTGCAAGTGGTCCCACCATCCTTTCCCAACCTCATCCTCAGAATTTGGGTACGCAAAGCGCAGTAACATCGGAATAAATCCAGGCCAATATGCTACAATAACCTTGCCCACAGCAATCTTCAGTGACCACTTCTCCTCTTTGGCCTCCTTCACACCAAGAGAGGGGGGCCACTCCGGCTCTGCAGTGCTATGCAGTTGTTCCTCGTCGTCACTCTCTTTCCACCATATAACCTTAAAAGCATGTCTTCCCTGAGCCAAACGCCACTGCCGCCCTGACGACCGATACGATCCATAATCTTCAGGTAACTTCCCATTCAAGCCAGCATCCGGAACAGGAATGCCCGAAGACGGTACATCAGCAAAGGGAACCTTCTCCGTCCCTCGATTTAGCTCTTCAGCACTCCCATCACCATCATCGCCAGGCTTTTCTGCTGGGTAAAGACCGATTACAACATCATCCAGGGTGCGGCTCTCGGAGCTAGCATTTCGTGATTGAAAAACTGCACACCGCCCAACTAGGACCGAGATATAGCGTGGATCCTCCTCCCAAAACCTGCTGCTCATCTCAGCGCTTGCCAATTCCACAACCGCAAAGGGAGGTGGCTGTACAGATGCCAAGCGTGCTCTTCCAGCCGACACATCACTCGGAGAAAGTCTGGAGAAAAAGGCGGGAGTTGGGAGGAAAAAACCATCTCTAGACATCGCCATATCCTGGTAACTTTGGCCACTTCTCTCTCCAGACCTATGTGATGCTGCATCAGGCTTCTGAGAGTCATTCATTGATCGCGGGCTAGTGACTGGCGAGTTATTCTGTGCAGCAGTTTTTCTCCCATCACTACCATCCTTGGTGGTCCCCGCTCCTCTGCATTCCTGTTCCTTCGCAAGCTGCCTCTTCACCTCAGCCATCGACGGATCACACCGGCATTTCAGCATTCCACTTTTCAGCTTCGCATTTATAAACATTTCCAACCCCCTAACAACCTCCTGCTTCTCCTCTTCTTCTCCCCCTCTCTCGCCAGATCCTGCAAGGCCATAGGCAGATTTCTCTTGCCAGTTCCCCTTCCCTGGAAGGCTAGCCTTTTTATTTAGTTCAGCATCTTCATTGCTTCCGCATTCAACCATCTGCTCACTACTAACCCGAGACTGTGATTCTTCAAAGCCCTTCTCATCGACCAGAAAATCCCATGCACGGCCTATGGCTCGCCCACCAGCCAGTGCTGCTTTCAAGACAAGACCTCGACGGCCCAAAGGTTTGCCACCTCCCACCTTGGTCCCATCCCCATCTAGGCCCCTCCTCCCTCCTGCTCTCGTCTCATCCGTCGTAAATGGTTCCAAAGTCTCAGCAGCGCTGACCACAGGCATATCCACATCACCAATAGTACCCAAACTTTCTGGGGATGCCTTGGCTTCCAGCTTACCCTTTGACACAGGCACAATCTCTCCCCCCTCGGCTGAAGATCCCATGGTCGCCGAGGAACGGGTAAAACTCTCCACACAGCGGCAAAAAAAGAACATCTGAAGATCACTCACATTAGCAATGACTGGATCTGCAACAATGTTCAACAGCACTTGACGGCGTTTGCGATCTTCAGCAGGAAGCAATGCAAGCTGCACCGATAAGGAGTTTGTACGCACCAGAGGATCTGCAAGCGGATTTCAGGGTAAAGAACACGGTTTTCAGAAAAGGTTGGGAGGGGGAAGGGGGGGAAGGAAGAACAAAAGAAAAAAGGAGGGCACATGAACAAAAGCAACGACGACAATTGCAATAATGTTCAGTAGCACTCGACATTGTTTGCAATCCTCTGCATGGAGCAATGTGAACTGCGCCAGTAAGGAGCTCATGCACACCAGAGGATCTGCAAGCAGATTAAAAGGTCATGGGGAACAGAAAATTAGAGGTTGAATATTGTAATTCTGTATGCCATGTTTTTTTCAGTTCTTTTTTTTCTTTTTTTCTTTTTTTTTTGCGCTGGAAATTCCAAGGACCTTCACCGGGACATTGCCCAGACTGGCCCGGCCCAGGTGGCCCGGCTGGTAACCCAGATAGAGTCCGTAGAGTTTTCCATCTGGTGTGGGTGAGTGATAGTCTGCTTCGAGTTCAGTCACAGGTGGCTTGAGGGCAGTGGTTGGTGCCCACCTCAAGGTATCAGTTGTTGGGCGGGGTTGTTGATGGTTAACGACAACCGGGGTTAGGGTGGATTATCACTTACAGCGTAATCAGTTAAGGGACTCTGCAGACTGTAGAGGGTTCAGCCTCCTGATGAGTCGGTGAAACTCCGACGAAACAGTTTGTCACAGGCTCACAGCCCCTCGTTTGTTGTCCTCTTCTCCCTCTCTGCCTACGGTTGACCGGGTTGTTTGACCACATATATACCCACACCTGGCCCAGCCGTGCCACCCGGGCCATTCTGAGGCAATCTGGGTGGCCCGGCAGATAGCCCCCATATATATATTGTCACACAGAGCTGCCCGGTAAACCGTAGGCAGAGAGGGAGAGAGGACAACAAACGAGGGGCTGTGACAAACTGTTCCGTCGGAGTTTCACCGACTCATCAGGAGGCTGAACCCTCAACAGTCTGCAGAATCCCCTAACTGATTAAACTGTAAGTGATAATCCATCTTAACCCCGGTTGTGATTAAGCATCAACGACAGGTGGGCATCCTCACCCACACCAGATGGAAAACTCTACAGACTGTCGGTCCACACCCCATCACAAGCCAGCAAAACACCCACGAAACAAAGAAAGGTCTGTCGCAGCCAAACAATACACTCTGGACATGCCACTGGCACTAGAGGCACAGCATGGTGACGGCCCTCACCACTGCCGCTTGACCTGACCGGAAAAAACTGTAGCAGAGTGCTCGCGAAGTCGTGGAATATATTGTCAAACAGAGCTGCCCAGTAAACCACAGAGAGAGAGGAGGACAACAAACGAGGGGCTGTGACAAACTGTTTCGTCGGGGTTTCAGCGACTCATCAGGAGGCTGAACCCTCAACAGCCTGCAGAATCCCTTAACTGATTACACTGTAAGTGATAATCCACCTTAACCCCGGTTGTGGTTAAGCATCAACGACTGCCCGACAACTGATACCTTGAGGTGGGCACCAACCACTACCCTCAAGGTACCCGTGACAAAAATCAAAGCAGACTATCACTCGCCCACACCAGATGGAAAACTCTGCATATAGATACATATATATTGTCACATCACTACAAACTAAAAGAGCGCACTTTGCGGAACAAAGAATAAAAGCAAAAAACGGGCACAGTGATAACATGCAAAAATAAAAATAAAAATAAAAACAAAAAGAAAAAACAAGGGCAGATTGAAACCATTAAATTTCTCATTCTTCTTTGAACTCCACCTCCACTGTGCCTCTCACATGCAAGGCTCGCCACGTTGATGAAGTTGAGCGCGAGCTGCCCCCATCCCCGTATGCCATAACAGCCCACTTGCACATATATATATAGATATTTCTGCCCGGTAAATCATAAGCAGAGAGGGAGAACAGGACAACAAACCATAAGCAGAGAGGGAGAACAGGACAACAAACCATAAGCAGAGAGGGAGAACAGGACAACAAANATAAGCAGAGAGGGAGAACAGGACAACAAACCATAAGCAGAGAGGGAGAACAGGACAACAAACCATAAGCAGAGAGGGAGAACAGGACAACAAACGAGTGGCTGTGACAGACTGTTTCATCGGAGCTTCACTGACATATATATTGTCCCATATCTATGAACTAAAAGAGCACACTTTGCAAAACAAACACTAAAAAAAAAAAAATCAAGACCAACATGAGGATAACACTGAAACCATTCATTTTTCACATTCTCTTAACTCCCCCTTCACCGTGCCTCTCACATCAAGGCCTGCCACATTGATGAACCTGAGCGCGAGCTGCCCGCATATATTTTTTTGTTAGGTTCCTCTTCCCTAGCACCCACAAACACACACACACACACACACACACACACACACACACACACACACACAC